GTATGGAGAGATGGTGCAACAGTTAAGAGTACTGGCTGCTCATCCAGAGGTCCTGAGTTCAATTCTCAGCATTCACATGGCAGCTCACCACTGTCTATAATGAAATCTGATGCCATCTTGTGGTGTATAGAACTCTCATGTACATCAAGTACATATAAATAAATCTTTTAAATTAATCTTGGTCAGAAGTCCTATCATATATTCTACAGACTTAAGAACAGAACCAATATTCATAATTCTCTCTTTAAAAACACTGAGGAGGGTGGGGCGGTGGTGGTTCACGCCTTTAATCCTAGCTCTCTGGAGGTAGAGATCTCTGTGAGTTCGAGGCCAACCTGGTCCTCAAGGTGATTCCAGAACAGCCAGGGCTGTTACACAGAGAAATCCTGTTTGGGGATAAAAGGAAGGAAGGAAGGTAGAAAGGAAGGAAGGAGGGAGGGAGGGAAGGAAGGAAGGAAGGAAGGAAGGAAAAAAAGCTGAAGAGGGAGACCAAAGCAGTCATAGTAGGGGCAGTGGAGGCTAACTGTAAGGGACAACTGTAGGCCACTGAGTAGGGCCCAGGCTGTAGAGGAGCCCCTGGTCCAGGCACCTACTACTCCTACCACACTGTCATAGTTTAGGCACTAACCACTAACTAGGCTGGTGCCTCCAGCTTGTCCTCTCTTACTAGCCATCTTCCTAGAGCAAGCTGCAAAGTCTGTCCAGAAGGGCCTTATGAATATCCTCTGTGTGCTCCCTCCCTAGCACCTTGGGCAAATACTGCCCCCCCCCCTTCAGTGAGATCACACAGGGCTGCTGCAATCATTGCCCAGAAGCCACCTCAACTGTACTCTTCAGGGTGCTCCAGATACCCTACCCATATGAAAAATTAATAGAGTCCTCAATGCCCAGTTTTAATTGTCTCCCCTCCACAGAGTTGTTTTCAATGCTCCATTCTTGGATCAGGTGCTCTTTCTTCTCTTGGTCCTGTTTCAGGTCTACTGCAGATTCCTGGCTAAGGGAACCGACCAGGGCATTAGCACAAAGTTTAGTGTTTCCCCAGATTACCAGCTCTACTGAAGTCAAGGCCTACGATGCACCAGGTTTGAAGAAACCCCAGAGGGCTGAGTGAGGCAATCACTCCCTTGTTTTTAAAGTTCAACAAAACCTTTTCCTGTGTGCTAAGATGGAAACAGACTTGGAGTCTGCACCCCTGGAAGATGATGAAGCCTATAGTCACTCTGAGAACCAGTCAGTAACAAAACAGCTGACCTTTAGAATTTATACTAACAGATTTTCAGGGTGACTGCAACTGGAACTTTCACCGAGAATGCCATTAAGAGAGGTTCTGTCACCTCTGTAAGTCGTGGTTTTTTTTTTTTGCTCTGAGAAACACAAGCCTTGAACACATACTGCAAGTGGGACACTAAGGCTGAAATAATAGCCTGCCCTCCCCCAGGGGTTAGAGGATTCCTTGGCCTTCTGCCTGAGGCAGAGATGGTGGTTTCTCAAACTATATTCCATAGAACAGCCAAAGGACAATGTAGAGCTAAGGATCTAAGAGGGGTGGGTGTCGATTAGATCCACTTTTACATTTCATGTTACAGTTTCATTAAGATTTCCAACTTAAAAGGAAAGGAGACCCTGGTTTTAGTATTCACAGGAGGTGCAGACACGCCCCCCCTTCACCCACCCACTCCAAACACACATCCCACTTTGATCTCTGGGTATATATGGAGACATGGTTAGTAGCCTGGAAAAAGCATTGCCAATGAGAACAGACCAGTGGTAGCCAAGTCATCTGTCACCTTCTCCAACAAGCCTCCTATATCTTTCTCAAGGAAAACACAGTATCTCATGTAATCTTGGCCAATTCCTGATACCCCTTCTGCATACCTGGGAGCTATTTGTGTTATTTTCAAGATGACTTCAAATTGTGTAGTGAATTTATCTCATCAGATAATGTGGGAGTTCAACTAGGACAATCAGCCTGTTCCCGTGGTGAAGTCAGTGAAGATACCCAGCACTGTGTCTTTCCAGTGTGCTGCTAGATACCAGAGGCCAGGAGAGAAAGCTGAGACAGGACTCTGAGATCGCTTCCTCCATGCAAGACCCATGTTCTGCTGATGGCTAGTGAAGCAACATCAGACAGCAATGTCCATGGGACACATCACTGACAAGTAGATACACCAACAGCCAGCCTTTTTTTTTTTCTCCTTGACTGACCTGAGGCCCTTAGAGCAGTGAAAAGGCACCACCATCCACTAAGTTACTGGTGACCACCAGTGTCTACTCCAAATTACCTCCATATATTAGCTCCATGGTACAATGTAGACTCTTAGCAGAAGGGCTGTGTGTCGGGCTCCAGGGACTGAGGGGTGGCCACTTCTCTACACTATGCTGGCATGAAGCCTTCTGCTAGTTTAGGATTCTGAAAGAGCTGAGTTCAAATCCCTTTTTGGATCTTTGTGAGTCTTGGTAGCCTCTGTCAAGTCAATTAGGAACTTGAACCACTGAACTATAATTTCTTGCATACTTTTTTCTTGAGTTAAGAACAATGTACAGCTAACTTGTGGGCTTCAATAAGAACATAGAAGGTTGCATCAGAATTAAACAGCTGTCCTTGAAATCCCAGAGACTGAAGGGCATTCTTTAGGCACATGGTCATGATGCTCCCTCCATATCAAAGCATGGCTCTTTCTGCTATCAGCCAACAGTGCCCTATATCTCAGAGTACCATTTACATGGCTACTTCTGGGACAGGAAACTGGCTAACAAGAATCCACCTATCAGTGCCAAGCCTGGGACATTTGGTAGGAATTCGCTGATGTAGAGAGACACAGAGGACTTCATTTCTTTTTCTTTTCTTTCTTCCTTTTTGTTTTTGTTTTTGAAGAAAGGGTTTCCCTGTGTAGCGCTGGCTGTCCTGGAATTCAGAGATCTGCCTGTCTCTGCCTCCTGGTGCTGGGATTAAAGGCGTTCCACTACTACCCCATGAGGGCTCTATTTCTACAAGAATAGCATGAAAGAAAAGAATGAAAGAAGCCACAAAAAGGCAGTGGCACTTCTCAGGGTAAAATTCTGAGCCTGCCACCTTGTGTTTACCCCGAATGGTGGGTTGAAAGTGGGGAGAAAGCATTCTTTTTTACTATTTGGGAACAAATATATAAAAACAACTATGTCTGTATGAATACAGGTGTATGCATAATACCATGACACATTTGATTTAAAAAAAAAGAGTTGAAAAGCTTCCAAGAGATTTCTCATACCTTAAGGGGATCCCTTCTGAGGCAGACAGTTTTTTATCACCTTTTGAGGTTTCCACCCAGCCCTCACCCCCACCCTCATCCTCACCCCCCCACCCTATAAACCTACAGGGAGCACACGCATAGTGGAGAAATAGTTTGTCACATCATAGATGGAAATACAAAATTGGTATCTATAAACTTCTTTGAACATCATTAATTCATTAGCCTAGAGAAACTAGAATCAGAGTGAGAACTTGAGCAAGCACATCCACATAGAGAGTATAGCACTTTTGGTTAAAAAGCAAGGTCTAGAAAGTTCCTTTAGCCTTCCAACTGCTCAGCCAGTGCAGCTCAAAGCCAGCCACCGTCAGCCACAAGTGCGAGCGAGCGAGCAAGCATGCTGCCCACTGAAGAGCAGTGTTCAGTGTTCCTATGTTCCTTCCTACCCTAGTTCTGTGCCAGTCAGCCAGGTTTGCAATTTTAAAGCTGATGGATTTGGGAAAGGGGTCCCAGTGTTCAGTACTATGAAATGACACTGTTTTGGTGTGGAATAAAGCCACAAAAGTAATGAGTGAGTTGGGGGATGGGGGTGAGACAATATGATCCTAAATTAATTTTTACTATGAACTAAAGACCTTCCCAAAGGCTGTGGATTATTGCATTGAAGAGACATAAAAGGCGTGCACACTTCACTATAAACTCCGGAGCAGGAAAAGAAATTTGAAATTAAAAAATTACCAATGCCTTAAATTTTTAAATTTTTATGTATTAATGTGAAAGGTATTTGGTTATAAATGAGGCACATATAAAAGCTCTACATAAACCTGCACACGAATTTGAGAATCTAGTTATCTCCAAGACCCATATCAGTAGATCTCTTTGTCTCTCTCTCCCTTTTTCTGGATTTTTGAGATGGTATCCCATTATGAATTTGTAACAATCCACCCTGCCTCTGCCTCCTAGTACTGGGATCACCGGTATAAGCCACCATGTCTGCTTGAGACAGCTCTACTAAAAAGACCTATTTAAAAAACAGCATGTCAGACAATGTGGAAGACATCTGATGAAAATCTGTGATGAAAGAGACATGTAAAAATGTATTTCCTTAAGATTACTATTATTTATTTTATTTATGTTATTTATGTGTGTTTTGATGGCAGAAGCCAGAAAATGGCATCAGGTTCCCTGGAACTGGAGTTGCAGATGGTTATAGCTGCCACCAGGATGCTGGTAATTGAACTTGTGTTCCCTGGAGGAGCAGCCAGTGCTCTTAACCACTGAACCATCTCTCCAGCCCCATAAATATTTTTAAAAAGAATATGCTAGAAACCCAAATTAGAGTCATTTCTAAATGTGTGTTATAAAGTCGTTTCACAACTCGGGATGATTTCTTTTTTCTTCTTTTTTTTTTTTTTTTTAAAGTATGGATCAACTGCTTCTCTAGGTACAGATTGCTAGCCCAATGCTACAGGACAGTTAACAGAATATTTTTATTTTGTTTTTTTTAATCATGTTTCTGTGCTGAAGTTATCAAGACAGCTCTCTGCTGCGATTGCGTTGTTACTGGGAACACGCACACGCTCACACACACAGGGAGTTTAATGTGAGGCCAGCACAGAAACAGAGAGATTAGACACAAAGAAATGTAAACAGCCCTCACATGCTAGGAAGCTAGGTTACAAGAATCCCGGCACCAGGCATTCACCAGTCACCATGGAAAACAGGAAGTGAGGTGCATAGCAACCACGAGCCAAAAAGCAGAAAAGCGCATACCTTTAGCTTGGAATGAAAATCACGAGATTTCCTTCTGGCAAGAACCTGAATGTGACTAGACACCTGCAGGGTAGGGGAAGGGAGGAAAACAAAGGAAAAGCCTGTAACCATGGAGATGAAAAGCCCCCTACAACTGGGCAAGCCAGACGTACCTTAATGGCGGCTTGAATTTCTCGAACTTTCTTTCTTGCTAAGACCTGTATATGACTAGACACCTACATTTTTCGGGTTTATGCGGGGGAAACAAAACAAGAAAAAACAAAAAACAAAAACAAAAAAACAAACAAAAAAAGGAAATCAAATATAAAATCGCTATTCCTTGGGAGGGGCAGGGTGGGGGGAGGTTATTTGCATCTCAACGAAGCTCTGCGGTTAGGAACATACAGTCCCAGCCAGACACCAAGCCCCCAGCACTGATCTAAAGCTTTACAAACCACAGGGTCCTCAAGGCAGTGACTTGGGCAGGCTCACCTCCCATGTTCCCACCTGAAGAGATCACAGGTGTGTTGGGGAGCCATGAGTCGGGGAGAGGAGGGATGCGTTTTTATGAAATTAAAAAGGCGGGGGTAGAGATATATGAAAATATTTACACCTCGGTATCAGGAGGGAAACACCCCTTTCTCAATTTAGAGCTGACTGTCCATAAATTGCCCTGTCCTATACAATCAAAGCTGAGGCTGGGAGGGGGGTTCTGATCTGGAGGACTCTAGATTCTGTGGCAAATGCTGAAATAACACTGACACATGAATTAGATCTCCAAGACAAATGGGACCCAGTTAGCAGAGCTTTTCTTTTTTTCTTTTTTTTTTTCTTCCTTAAAATTTCTTTAATCCTTTTACTCTTTTGGGAATCAACTAGGTGCCAAGTGGATCTGCATACTATTACAAAACGAAATGTGTGAATACAGCTAGCCAGCCAGCCAGCCAGCCAGTTAAAACTCTGGGTTGAAAAAACCACTCAGCTTGGCTGAACAACATACTGGAGAGGTGTGGCCAAATATAGCGTACAGGCACCCTGAGGATGGTGCCGTGTTTGGAAACAAGGCCAGGTAGGCCTCTGACACACACTGGGCAGGCAAACCAGCATCTATTTCAGTGGGACTTGATTAAACTTTAAAATGCCCCAAGTTAAGGGGTCACCAGGCAAGTGACCAGAGCTCACTGGCCAAAAGCCAGTTCAGCACTGCCATCTGCATTGGGAGATTCTGAACCTTCCCATTACAAGTTCAAAGGCCTGGTCTTTCTGGCAGTTTCAAACTCATTTCAAACTCTCCAGTGACTCTGACAACAGGACTCGGCATTGTCAAGGATCTTTTGGAGGTTAAAGTTGTTTTTCTGAGTTTCAATAATTTGCTTTCTTCCCGTTTCCAGAAAAGCAGGGCTCCCCATCCTCTTCACCCCTCCATCTGGCTCCTGCTGATACTCATTTTCACCCAGACTCTTGTCTGAGGCCCTGACTCAATGAGGGCCATGGCTGGGTGCATCCCCAGCAGACAGGCCTGCCTGCCTCTGTGCTGGCAGGAGGCCACCCCTTTCTGCTGACTCAGCATGGGGCCAGCACAGGCAGCCTTTCTGGGGGACAGCCCAGCCCCCTGATCCACACTCCAGAAAGCAGAGCTGGAGGGGAGAGGGAACAGGGCTACTGCTGCTCAGTCTTAAAGAGACATGGGGGAGTTGGCTGCATTCAGGCCTCAGTTATCCCCTCACCTCCCTTTAATTATTTTGAGATGAGGTCTCTCACAATGTTGTCAAAGTGGTCTTGAACTCCTGGGTTCAAAAGATCCTGAAGCCTCAGACTCCCAAGTAGCTGGGATTAGAGGTAGCATATGCTACCACATCTAGCTAGCTGCAGCTGCTGAACTCTGTGCCATGTAATTCCATATATAGGTTAACATTAAAAAAAAAAAATGTTTTCCATCAATGACCCATCCATTACATGGGTCATTTGTTTTCCTTTCTTTTTTTCTGATTTCAGAGACTGATCTCCCACCCATTCCAATTGTGAACTTGATCACATCAGTAATATGGGCTGCTCTGTATCCAAAAAACCAGGGAAGGTAGAGCCCTGGCCAGAGTCAGAAGAGAATACCCACTCCTGTTCTGCAGCATCTAAAAATTGTAACTGCTTTATAGTTACAGCAGCAGAGGCTGACAAAAGGCCATTGCTAAAGAAGCCACAGTGCCCTGGAAGTGTATCGCTCAGTATAGTATTTAGGCCATTGCTAAAGGCCACTGGCATGGCTTCACTGAAAGCATGACAATTACGTAATCGTTTCAGGATATTAAAATGCACAGAACCTCCAAATCTCTTGGCTTGCCAGGGTAAGTGCACCTGCAGCCTTCTGCAACTCTGGCAGATGTTAGGGAGGTGGAATTGAAAACACCTGAGCAAGGGGAGGTTCAGATACTGGCTTGGCAGTGAACTGTGCCACATGTATATGACAGCACACTAGTGCATGCTCAGGTCACGTGGTAAGAGTGGAAAAAGCCACTCCAGGACACCTACAGGGTAGACTCCTTACAGGGCACTGGGCCTGGGGCTCCTAGAGCTGAAGCACGGCAGCCAAGGCAGCCCAACGTCTCCGGGCCATTCGCTGACATGCAAACCTTGCAGGCGGGTACTGTACCTGCTTCCTGGTCCTTGTCTTCCCTGTTCTGAGTTTGATGTATCTGGCTATCAATTCATTTCTACCTGCAAGAAAGAAGAATTTATAATAAGGAAACTACATAAAGATAAGTAAGCAAAGCCCTTAAAACAGCGGTTCTTGACCTTTTTTTTTTTTTTTTGGTTTTTCGAGACAGGGTTTCTCTGGGGAGCTTTGGAGCCTACCCTGGCACCC